TATGTGAATAAATCTAAGAAAATGATTGCTTACCAGTACTATATAAATTCAGAGTCAGGAGTGATGGTGATGCCAAACAACCACAGATTGTCCACCTTTGCTTTCTGATGACTCAGCATACACAGACATTGTTTTATGCACAAAATTATTTAAAATATTGTATAAAATTACCCTGAGGTTATATGTATGAGGCCTGTATGAAACATCAATGACTTTTCTGTTTAGACTTAGGTCCCATCCCCAAAATATCTGATTATGTATGTGCAAATATTCCAAAATTGGAAAAAAATCTGAAATTTGAATCTCTTCTGGCTCTAAGCATTTCCATTAAGGAATATTCACCTGTAGTCAGTCTATTGATTTTAAATATAGAGATTTCTTTTATGTAGAAATCATATTTATGAGCACATAGTGGTAATAACCTTATTATATTTTTCTTTTTAGCCTATATATGCAAACAGATTTCCAGTACCAACCTATGCAGCCAAGCAACCTCAGCAGTTCCCATCAAGGTCAGAAGAAAATTTGCTTAGATTTTTTTTGACCAGAATAAAACCTAGGGGTTAATGTCTAATAATTTCCCCTGTATTTTAATGTAATTTAGTGAAAGGTATTTATTGTCAACAGTTTACAAGAACATGATTTGCAGAAAGGTTTTAAAATAACTTTTATATAAATTTTATCATATTGGTACAGGGTCAAAATGAAATATTAAAGAAGCTTGAGCAAGGCATAGATTCTGCTGCCACAGCTTTCAGGTGCATAAGATTTAGAAGCAAGGGCCTTTGAGGTAACCAGCAGTTGAAAACCAGATGGGTTAGAACAGCCTTCCTGTCAAAAACAGCTAAAAAAGCTGGACAATATAAGAAAATATGTGTTTGAAGGCATAGAAGACTAAAGAAGTGAGGAATTGTGGGGGTAAGGTCAGGAGAGGAAGGAAGTCTAGAAATGGTCCCAGCTTTGGGGGCCACTTTTCCTTCCTAAATGAGTTTACCTGTTCTGACAATAGACAGACTAGGAAGCTGAAGAGAGCGTTCTACAAACTCACAGGGCAGATTGGACAAAATTTGGAATCCTGCCAAAGAGGAGGCACCTTAGCAAGCATCTCAGGTTCTGTGCTGGGACCCAGAAGTAAGAGTGGACTAGACCTTCAACTGATTTCTACAATTTCTATGCTTTGCTCATGATCAAAAAAAGCCAAGTGTAAAAGAAAATATGACTAAAACCAAAAAACAATAGGCCATAGAAACAGACTGAGAGGGTATCCAGTAAATAGACATGGACTTTAAAATAACTATGATGTCATGGAATTAAAAGTCAGTATTGAGAATTTCACCACAGAACTAAAAACTTAAAGAATCAATGCAAATTCTAGAACTGAAAAACACAAGAACTGAAATGACTCAATGGATGGGCTTAAAAATCATCAGAAAGGAAGATAATTTATTACTTCATTTTGTATCACATAAAATGCATGTGACCCTCCCATCCCCCAAAAGTCTTTCAAATTACAATTGCATTGTAACTCTGAGGACTATCTTCATATGTAATCTTTATTATACAGTAAGAATACATTGAAATCCAACTGAGGATCAGGGGAAGAGTATATAAATTATGAGGGAGACATTCACCAGGTAGTGTTCTAGTGTGTTATTGGAGTAGAGGTGTATTAGAATTGGATGATGAGGTTAGGAGAGGCTGTCCACAGGTGGAAGTATGAGGTTTGAGATGGACACCTGGTGTAGAAGTCATAATACTTTTAATTCTCAGAGTGGATCTCATGTTGAGGGAGCTATAAACAGCTAGGTTTACACCTAGCAGTAATTTGCTGCCCTCAGATTCTAACAGCACAGGCAAGTGCTTGATCACTTGGTGTCTTTTACAGTTTATCTTTACCATTTCATGTGTGTTTTTTTTTTTTTTTTTTTTGAAAAAACATGTAAACTAGAAACTTCATACAACATTGTTGATTATGGAGTAATATTATTTAAGGTAGTTATTCCATTTTAGACTCTAATTGGAGCCCTTTAGCCATTGAATATTACCTTAATACTGATCTCAGAATGTAAAGTACCCTTTCCTATTGTCAGAGATGTTGAGGATGGTGTTATGTTGGGCGTGTAATGAATATGGCATTATTTCACCCAGTCTAAACACGCTATTAACTATCTCTTTTCCCCTCACAGGCCACCTCCACCACAACCGAAAGTATCATCTCAGGGAAACTTAATTCCTGCCCGTCCTGCTCCTGCACCTCCTTTATATAGTTCCCTCACTTGATTTTTTTAACGTTCTTTTTGCAAATGTCTTCAGGGAACTGAGCTAATACTTTTTTTCCTTGACGTTTTCTTGAAAAGCCTTTCTTCCTGTTGAAACTATGAATGAAAACAAAATACCACAAAACAGACTTTACTAACACAGAAAAACAGAAACTGATTGTGAGACTTGAGAAATACAAGGAAATTCAGTAAAGCCAGGGAATTTACAATAACATTTCCGTTTCCATCATTGAATAAGTCTTATTCAGTCATCAGTGAGGTTAATGCACTAATCATGGATTACGTTATTTTGAACATGTTATTGCAGTGATTCTCAAATTAACTATTGGTGTAAGATTTTTGTCATTATGTGTTTAAATGTTATTCTGATTTTTTTACCTTAGTTATCATTAATGTAGTTCCTGATTGAACATGTGATAATCTAATACCTGTGAAAACTGACTAATCAGCTGCCAATAATATCTAATATTTTTCATCACGCATGAATTAATAATCATCATACTCTAGAATCTTGTCATTCACTACATGAATAAGCAAATGTCTTCAAAAGAATGCACAAGAACCACAATTAAGATGTCATAATATTTTGAAAGTACAAAGTATACTAAAAGAGGGTGTGTGTATTCACACACAGTTACTCACTTCCATTTTTATGACCTTTCAACTATAGATAATAACTCTTAGAGAAACTAATTTAATATTAGAATTTCTATTATGAATCATGTTAAAGCATGACATTCTTTCACAATAGCACTATTTTAAATAAATTATAAGCTTTAAGGTACGAAGTATTTAATAGATCTAATCAAATATGTTGTTGATTCATGGCTATAATAAAGCAGGAACAATTATAAAATCTTCAATCAATTGAACTGTTACAAAACCACTTGAGAATTTCATGAGCACTTTAAAATCTGAAGTTTCAAGCTTGCTATTAAATCATTTAGAATGTTTACATTTACTAAGGTGTGCTGGGTCATGTAAAATATTAGGCACTAATATTTTCATAGAAATTAGGCTGGAGAAAGAAGGAAGAAATGGTTTTCTTAAATACGTACAAAAAAGTTACTGTGGTATCTATGAGTTATCATCTTAGCTGTGTTAAAAAGGAATTTTTACTGTGGCAGAAATGGTATGGATAGTAAAATTTTAAGCACTAAAATTTTTTTCATAACCTTTCATAATAAAGTTTAATAATAGGTTTATTAACAGAATTTCATTAGTTTTTTAAAAGTGTTTTTGGTTTGTGTATACATACATATACAAATACAACATTTACAATAAATAAAATACTTGAAATTCTCTCTTTTGTGTGTGCTACTAGCTTCCTACTCAACTATTTATAATCTTATTAATTAAAAAGTTATAATTTTAAATAAAAATTCTAGTCAAACTTTTATAGATATTATCTCACTAATTGTCGGACTTTTGCCAAAGTGTGCACAGTGGCTTTTGGAAAAAAGATTAGTTCTGAAGAAGGCAAAAATTTCAGTTTTGTGAAGACAGCATGTTATTGTAACAATCAAGTATACATATTAAATGTTGTGGGCAATCTCAAATGAAGGTCCATCATTTCATTTTAAATCTCTGAATGAATTCATATAAGACTCAAACGTTTATGCCGTTCACTCATGTTGCCTCAATTTTTGCAATCGCAATGCATATCACTGAAATTTTACAGTTGGTAATGTATTAACTATGTAACTTAACACTTGGAATTAAATAGTTCTTTGGATCTTTGACTAGTTAAGAAAGTTTTTAAAAAGACTATTGGATCTGAACTTCTTTTATATACTTTTTAATATACTTTATGTTTTTTACTTTCTTGGTCATGGATGCCACTTCAAAATTTGAAAATATTAAAGGATGTCCTATCTTCAAAAAAAATAAATAAATAAGGATAAATTATGCAAATTTGACATCTCCGTTTGACTCTGTATGTCAAACTGACCTTGTTCAGAGTATTGCATTCTCCCTTTCTCCTGTGTCTGCAACCATAGAGTTAAGCACAATTTGGGTTTTCTAAACTCAAATCAGATTTCATTAAATTTCATAAGTGTTTACTAAAACCTACCATTTTTCAGACACTGTATTAGGTACTGTGATATCTAAGTTCTGGGTAGGATATGTTTCCTGACTTTTAGAAGCACATCCTCTGTTATGAAGAGAGCCATACACACAAGAATAATACAAAATCAATCCTATTAAAGATACAAACCGAAAGGTTGGGGAGTAAGAAAGAACAAAATGATATAAGAACCAGAAATTCATTCAGAATACTTACTACTAATTGATGAGTTGAAGCATTTACTGTAATTGCTCTTATGTTTGTTTCAAAGCAAGGTGAAACTAGCTGTGGCTCAGCAGCTGCCTAAAAGCAATGTTAGCTTAGCATTGGCTGTTCCTGTTGAGATACAAACTCGGTGTATTTTTTTGTTGCCTTGTTCCGCTACTCCTCCACCCAGCTAAGATGGAGTTTTGCTCTTGTTACCCAGGCTGGAGTGCAATGGCACAATCTCGGCTCACTGCAACCTCCAGTTCCTGGGCTCAAGTGATTCTCCTTCCTCAGCCTCCCCAAGGAGCTGGGATTTCAGGCGCCCACCACCACACTCGTCTAATTTTTGTATTTGTTAGTAGAGACGGGATATCACCATATTGACCAGGCTGGTTTTGAACTCCTGACCTCTGGTGATCCACCCACCTCATCCTTCCTAAGTGCTGGGATTACAGGTGTGAGCCACCGCACCTGCCTGTTGCCTTGTTTTTGTTCATGTTATTTATTTCAGCTGTCAATTTCCCTGTTGAAATTGCTTGCATCCATAAAAATCACATCTTCATTTTAAATGTGTTAATTCCCCAAGTGAGATTTTTCTGTTCCCATGAGGCCTTTTAGTTTATGTGTTGGCCTATTACATAGTATGAGAAATTAATCCATTCTTTGGGATTTGAAAAGAATGAAAAGCTAATGCATACAGATGGAGACCTGGTGTGAGGCTGGGAAGGAGGAGGCATTGCAGTTCCAGGGAATAAAGCATTGTTTAGGAAAGACCCAAAGTCAGAGCTGCCAAAGCACTGGGGATAGGAGAAATTAAGTGGCAGGTTCCAGTCTGAGTTCAGAAAAATTACTATGCTGAGGCATTTGGCTAGAATTTTCTACTGAAATGTAAGTACTGTAATTGTGGGCAAGAATCTTCTCTATCTCTTTCACTACATGAAATGAGTATTTATTGCACTGAGAAGTTTCTGAACAATAGAATGACATCACATGAGTTTTAGCCAATGGCCTGCAGAGAACCAGACTGGAGGAAAAAGCCTGGTTATGAAGTCCATTTGGGCAGCGTCAGTGGGGAAAAAATGCAGCTGGCGCTCTTCAAAAATATGAAGAGCTGGCGTTTCATATTGAAAAGCGGCTCACTCTTCCCTTCTTTGGAATATTCACACATCTGGCTACTTTTGAAAAAATATTAGAAACAGGTTTGGTAAATATGAATATATATTTGGGCGTGTATATAGATTTTAATTCAGAAAGTATTACACATTCGCTTTTGAAGGGACCTAGGAAGCCCCGAAAGATGGCGGATGCCTGTAAGCCCAGCTACTCAGGAAATTGAGGAGGGAGGATCGCTTGAACCCAGGAGTTCGAGACCAGCCTGGGCAGAATAGTGAGCACCCCCGTCTCAAAAACAAAAGCATCTGGGAAGTGTCTGGTGCAGAAGAGCACATGCTGACTGTGAATAAGTGTGTCAGTTCTTAAGGTCCATCAACACAAAAGCGAAAAGTTAGTGGAGGACTGCGAGCGCGATCGCGACAGAGGGCGCTGGGTGGTCAGTGGCTCCAGCAACCACGCGGCTGGGAGCGCCGCGAAGGGAGCTGGATATTTTAGTCTCGGGGCACCCGCTGCGGGCTCTTAGTGTTCTGGACGCTGAACACCGAGAGCACCCCGGGCTCCGGGGCCTCCGGAGAACGCTGCCCCATGAACGCGCGGGGAGCGGCCCCCGGCGTCCGCGCGTACCCGGCAACTCCCGGCGTCCCAACGGCTTCAGCTGGCAACCCCGAAGCCGCACCATGTTCCGCCTCTGGTTGCTGCTGGCCCGGCTCTGCGGCCTCCTGGCGTCAAGACCCGGTGAGCCAGCCCAGACCCTGACACTAGTCCGGACGCTCGTCACACTGCGGCCTGACTCCCTGCAAAGCCCGGGGCCCTCCCTGCCTGGGTCCCTTTGGTCCTGTCACCCTGGCAACGGGGCCTTTTCCAGGGTATTAGGCGCCCGGTCCGGATGGAGAAGCGACTCAGGACCCAGCGCCAGGGCTCACACCTGTAATCCCAGGGCTTTGGGAGGCCGAGGCGAGCTGATTGCTTGACCTCGGAGTTGGAGACCAGCCTGGGCAACACAGCAAGACCCCATCTCTAAAAAAAAAAAAAAATTTAAAAATGTTCTGAGGTGGTGGTGCGCACCTGTGGTCCCAGCTACCCGGGAGGCTGAGGGAGGAGGACCACGTGAGTCCAGGAGGTGGAGGCTGCAGTGAGCCGAGATCGCCCCCACTGCACTCCAGCCTGGGCGACAGAGATCCTGTCTTCTTTTTAAAAATTAAAAAAAAATTTTTTTGTGTGACCGAGGCCCTTCTGTTGCCCAGGCTGGAGTGCAGTGGGCAACAGTGGGCAACAGAGGGAGACTCCAGCTCATAGTTCCCCAGAACTATGAGGAAAATAAATTTCTGTTGTTTAAGCCATGCAGTCTACACTATTTCGTTATGGCAGTGAGAGCTGACTAATATAGTACTTAACAGCAAAATGATTGAAAAACTATAAAAGTTCATTAGTAAGAGAACTGCTAAATAAACTGTAGTTACCTCCAAACAATGCAAATGGAACATTGTGGAGAGGGAGGAAGTAAGACACGCCATGTACTGACTCTGGCTGACAAGATTCAGAATAGTATGTAATGAGGAAAATAAGGGCATATCAGAACATTTTACTTGCATATAAGCCTCCCTGGTGATACTGTAAATTTTTGAGAACTCTTCCTACTCTTCTTCCTATCCTGCCACAATTACCTCTGCAGCATAGCAGAGGTGTGGTCAAGGCCAGGGTGTCAGCCTGGTTAGACTGGGGTGAGGGTTCTCTTCCTGACTTGTAAACAGCTACCTTCTCCCTGCATACTCACAGGACCTTTTCTTTGTGTACAAGAGAGAGCAGGAGCAAATTCTCTGATGTCTCATCAGGGCACAAATCTCATCATGAGGGTCCCGCTCTATACCTGAAACCCTGGTTACCTCCCAAAGGCCATAACCAAATACTGTCACCTTGGTGGTTAAGGATTCAACATAGAATTTTGTGGGATACATTCAGTTCATAACATGTACAAAGTTTTAATGCAGTGATTGTCAAAGTTTTTGGGTTCAGAACTCCCTTATACATGAACAATTATTGAGATTCTCAAAGAGCTTTTGTTTATGTGGATTTATATCAATGTTTAACATATTAGAAATTAAAGTAGAAATGTAAGAATGTGTATCTCATTCATTAAAAATGAAAGTAATGGCCAGGTGTGGTGGCTCACATCTGAAATCCCAGCACTTTGGGAGGCTGAGGCAGGTGGATCACCTGAGTGAGGTCAGGAGTTCGAGATCAGCCTGGCCAACATGGTGAAACCCCATCGCTACTAAAATACAAAAAAATTAGCCAGGTGTGGTGGTGCATGCCTGTAATCCTAGCTACTTAGGAGGCTGAGGCAGGAGAATTACTTGAACCCAGGAGGCAGAGGTTACCGTGAACCAGGTTGTGCCATTACACTCTAGCCTGGGTGACAGAGGGAGGTTCTGTCTCAAAAAAAAAAAAAAAAAAGAAAGTAATATGCCTTTTATATGTTAACATACGTATCACATTTTCAAAATAAAAATAACTATATTTTCCAAAACAAAAAATATGAGAAGAGCAGCATTTTTGTGAATCTCTTTAATGTCTGCTTTAATAGAAGACAGCTATTTCTCATTTCTGCTTCTGCAGTCAATCTGTTGCTGTATATTTCATGTGAAATATCTGAAGAAAATCTAGACTATACAGTTGGAAAAGGAAGAAATACCTTAATACCTTTTTTTCAGATAATTGAAGGTATTCTTTGTGTACTACAACAAAAGTTGAGCAATGGTGAAGTTTAGTTGCAATGTAGAACATATCAATGAAGTTTTCTTAACATGCTGTATTAATCCATTATCTATCTTGAACTCTGGTATGTTATCCATGTATTTTTGAATGTATTATTTTAAAAAAAAATTTTAAATTTTTGTAAAATACATGTAAAATAAAATTTCCATCTAACCATTTAAAAAATATTAATAGGACTGGGCGTAATAGCTCATGCCTGTAATCCCAGCACTTTGGGAGGCTGAGGTGGGTGGATCACTTGATGTCAGGAGTTCGAGACCAGCCTGGCCAACATGGTGAAGCCCTGACCGTTTCTACTAAAAATATAAAAATTACAGATGTGGTGGCACGTGCCTGTAATTCCAGCTACTCAGGAAGCTGAGGCAGGAGAATTGGTTGAACCCAGGAGGCGGGAGTTGCAGTGAGCTGAGATGGCACCATCGCACTCCAGCCTGGGTGACAAAAGCAAAATTCCATCTCAAAAAATAAAATTAAAAATATTAATAAACTTTATTTTTTAGAGCAGTTTTAGGTTCATAGCAAAATTGAGCTGAAAGAGTTCCCATATAGCCCCTCTTCCCAAATATGCATTTCTCCCACTATCAACATCTGGCACCATGGATCCATTTGTTACAACTGAGCCTGCACTGACACATCGTTATCATCCAAAGTTCACAGTTTGCATTAGGGTTCATTCTCCACGATGCACATTCTGTGGTTTTGACAAATGTACAATGACATGCATCCACCATTGTAGTATTATACAGAATAGTTTCACCGCCCTACAAATCCCGTGTGTTCTGCTTATTTATCCCTCCCTCCCCACTGCCGCTGGCAACGACTCATCTCATTAGTCCTCATAGTTTTGCCTTTTCCAGAATGTCAAGTATTTGAAATCATACAATATGTAGCCATTTTGGATGGACTTTTTTTTAACTTAATAATGTGCATTTAAGGTTCTCCCATGCCTTTTCATGGCTTAATAGCTTATTTATTTATTTAATTTTTTTTTGAGATGGAGTCTTACTCTGTTGCCCAGGCTGGAATGCAGTGGCAGGATCTTGGCTCACTGCAACCTCTGCCTCCTGGTTTCAAGCAATTTTCCTGCCTCAGCCTCCCAAATAGCTGGGATTACAGGTGCCTGCTACCATGCCCAGCTAATTTTGTTGTATTTTTAGTAGAGATGAGATTTCACTATGTTGAGCAGGCTGGTTTCGAACTCCTGACTTCAAGTGATTCACCTGCCTTGGCCTCCCAAAGTGCTAGGATTACAGGTATGAGCCACTGCGCCCAGTCGCTTATTTATTTTCAGTGCTGAATAATAGTCAATTGTCTGGATCTACCACAGTTTATTTATCCATTTACCTACCAAATGACATCTTGGTTGCTTCTAAGCTTTGGCAGTTATGAATAAAGCTTCTATAAACATCTATGTGCAGGTTTTTGTGTGGACATAAGTTTTCAACTCATTTGGGCAAATACCAAGAAATGCTATTGCTGGATCATATGATAAGTGTATATTTAGTTTTTAAAGAAACTGCCAAACTGTCTTCTAAAGTGGCTGTACCATTTGCATTCCCCCAGCAATGAATGAGAACTTCTGTTATTAATGCTGTCATATTATAAATTATATGAATAACTATAAGTGCAAGAAATCGTGGCTGTCTTTTTTATTATAACTCAGAAGAGAGAATTTAAACTTTCAAAGGAAAATGCCAACTCCAAACTGCTGACGATCCCGTCAGCTGAGGGATCTTGCTCAGCAATTTGGGAATGGCATTTTCACATTGAGCAATCACTCCTCATGTCCTCCTCCTTCCAGCCCCTGGCAGCCACTGATCTGCTTTGGATTTACCTGGCAACCACTGTCCCTTTGGATTTACCTATTCTGGGTATAAATGGAATCATATAAAACATGACCTTTTCTGTCTGGCTTATTTCACTTGCATAATGTTTTCAAGGTTCATTTCTGTTGTAGAATGCACTAGAACTTCATTCCTTTTTGTGACTGAATAATATTTCATTGTATACATTCACCTGTTTGTTTACCGATTCATCAGTTGATGGACATTTGATTGTTTCCAGCTTTTGGCTGTGAGGAATAATGCTGCTAGGAACATTCATGTACCAGTTTTTGTGTGGACATATGTTTTCATTTCTCTTGGATATGTACTTACAAAGGAAAATGTTAGGCCCAATGGTATAGGTATGTCCATTTCCTCTTCTGGACTTTGTTATCCCCCAATAAGGAACTGGCTATTCTGGGTCTTTTACCTCCTCATGTAAACAGTAGAATCTGTTGGTTGATATCCACAAAATAGCTTGCTGGAATTTTGACTGGGATTGCCTTGACATAGAACAAATTGGGAAGAGGCTGGGAATGGTGGTACGCTTGTAATCCCAGCACTTTTGGAGGCCGAGGCGGGTGGATCACTTGAGGCCAGGAGTTCAGGACCACCCTGGCCAACATGGTGAAACCCCATCTCTACCAAAAATATACAAAAATTAGCTGGTCGTGGGGGCACATGCCTGTAATCCCAGTTGAGGCAGGAGAATTACTGAAACCTGGGAGGTGGAGGTTGCAGTGAGCCAATATCACACCACCGCACTCCAGCCTGGGCGGCAGAGCAAGAGTCTGTCTCAATAAAAAAAAAAAAAAAGAAAAAGAAAAGAACAAGTTGGGAAACGCTGACATCTGATGGAGTGGCAGTGACTACCTACAATGTTTTGTTGAAAATGATTCTGAGGCTTTGCCTAAATTTAGTGTAAAAACTATGATACCTACTAGATTTTTGAAGTGACATACGCATTTATGTATCAGTCTTTTCCTAAAGTGGGATAGTTGAGGCCAAATTTGGCTTTGCATCAGAATAATCTCTGGATATTTCTAAACATACAGATTTCTGGATCCAAATCCTGGAACTTTAAAAATAATTATAAACTTGTTAATAATTTTTATTTGGTAATATGTGATTACATTC